TAGACGTCAAAAGTTGCTAGAATGGCCCGTTCCAAAATCGAAACGGCCCATTCTGAAATTGGTCGTTATGTGTTAATTTTGTAACTGGAATGGCCCATTCTTAAACTAGAACAGCCCATTCCAGAGATGAGTTTAACACATAACTGGCTACCCAGGAACGACCGTTCCAAACAAAAGTTCCAAATAACTTAGAACGGCGAGTTCCAGTTTAGGAACAACCCGTTCCAGTTTAGGAACGACTCGTTCCAAGCATAGATTTTATCCCTTTTTTAGGAGATTGGAACGGCTCGTTGCAATTTAGAAATGGCCCGTCCCAAGCTAGGATTTTAGGCCCTTTTAGGAACTTGGAATGGCTCGTTCCAAATTGGGAACGGCCCGTTTCATTTTTACAACTTTTCGTTCCTGACTCCTAAAACCAGCTTGTTTGGGCTTCAAGCTTCCTTGTTGTCATATGGTATTGACTCCATACTTTGGGAGCTCTTCCTCTTCATAGTAGACATCCATTTCATTGTTATTGTGGATCCGGATAAAATTGGTTATTCACACTAGGCAATTTGAGAGTCTCAATGTTCCAACTAATTCCAGCCTACCTCACTTCTCCACATTCCCTCTTAACACCCCTTTACAACCAAATCAGTAGTTAGTTACTTAGTTCCATAATGGAGACTCCCCCTTCTTTTTTTTTTTTTTTCTTTTCTTTTTTCTATTTTCATCTTAGGGATCTTATCCTTGAACAATACAAAAGACAACATACCTTAAAAGTTAAAAATGTTTTATTGTACTATAGTATCTATATTTATTCTTGCCTCCCCCTACCCTCAAAACATAGTGTGGAACATCTGTACAAATTAATAAACATCCATTTTTTTCCTTTTTTATGTTTTACATATTTGCTTTTCCTAAAATAGGGTTATCACAAGTTCAAAACCTTTAGTGAACAACTTGCAGCATTATCTTAGAAAATTGAGTAAATTACATAAGCACTCCTTTAGCTTGTGTAAGATTGCACAAACAATCTTTACCCTTTTTACCCCTACAATAACCCCTCTTAATTGACATGTAGTGGCTACTGATCACAGTTTCTAGAGAAACCGGTCCCAGGCATGTAAATGATGGCCTCCACCTTTGTGACATCTAGACGACCACCCGTAAAATTCCTGTACTCGCACTGCTCTGGAGGGTTTAGGTGTGTCCCCAAAAAGTCATTGATGGTATATATGCATCATAGGGAACAGTGACCCCCCTCACATAATTGGTATAAGTTTCTATGCCTTCCTGAAAGCACAAAGCATTGGCGTAAAATTCTTTGACCACAACTATGTTGGCTGGGGCAGGATAGGACCCAATAATGTCCCAGCTTCTTTGAGTGAGCTCTTCCTTGAACTCAGGGCTTCGCCATCCTCGAGCTCAACCCACCTCTCCAAATGAATTTTCTGTCCCCCACACTTTCAAAGTGTTTTTCATGTTGTTTTGTTAGAAAAGGTGTTGGAGTACAGTTTGCTAGACTTCTTAGGAGGCTGGGAAGGTTGTCCCGAGCGTTGTTGTTTGCTTGAAGAAGCCATTCGAGTGTAGAGTGAAGCAGGCCAATATATTTAAGAATTTTGCGACCTTAAGCAAAAATTAATACAAGACCTATGTTAATATAGTCTAATAATTTTGTTATTTTTTTTTTCATTTTTTGAGCTGCAAAATTATTTATTAAAATTTTATAATTGAGTAATTCTAACATTTCATTCTCAATAGATAATATAGCTAACTCATTTAATCTATCTTGTAGCATAATTGATCTTAAATATAATTTAATTTATTTTAATTTTAAAAAATTTCTTTCAGCAGTCGTAGCAGTTTTAGGTAATGTTATTAATATTCTATAAGCAATGTATGTATTTGAAAAAAAAAACATGATCTTTTATATAGTTCAATAATTTTAATAGTGTGTTAATTTCATTTGTTAGAATTTCTTTCAATAGCTTTAATTCTGAAAACAAATCAAGACCATGAATATTAGAATGGTCCTCAAAACTCAAAATCTTTTCAAGATTGATATAATGTTTCAATCCATCTTCCCCTAAAGTTAAAAATTTATTTGAATCAAATAAAAAATTAAACATGTTTTCATATTCTAAAAATTGTTCAAATCGACTTTCAATAGAAGAAATAGATTGATCTAATATATATAAAAAAATAATCTTTGCGAAAAGAATCTTCAGCAAAATGAGCTATCATATCACTATCAATGTCATCAAAATGTTTTTTTCCTATGAATCTTACGTTTTTCATTGAACTTAGGCTCTATATCCATTTTAATAGTCATTTCTTTAGTGGATTCTAATGCAAATGCAAAACCATTTTTCCTATAATTTTATAAATAAGTTATAAGGCCTCTTAAGTGATCTATAGCAACATCTATATGCATATCTTTAGATTGCATGATCATACTTATAGAATTAACCGCAAAAAGTATATCATACCAAATATTCATTCCCAATAAAAATTCAAAATTCTTCATCTCATAAGTCGCTAAACACATGGCTTCACTCTTTATCTTAGGATCTTCACTAGTTTTCGATAATTGAGCAAGTGCATCCCTTATTTTTTGTGCTTGAAACTTTATGGCTTTAGCACTTTCAATTCTACGTTCTCATCTTGTTTGAGATAGTGATTTAATTGAAACTTAGATACATTTTCTTGTAAGATTTTCCATCGTTTGGTAAAAGAAGCAAACAAAGAATAAATACGTTGCAAAACTTAAAAAAAAAAAAGAAAAAAAGAAAAAAGAAACAGCTCTAGTACATGAATTTGCCATATCACCTAGAACTAAATTCAAATTATGACAACTAGGGTTTTTGTCCATCAATCTCTTTTATGCTCCTTGATTTTTACCTTTCATATTAGACCCGTTATCATACCCTTACCCCCTAAAGGTCATATTTTTTTTAATACATGAGTAAGTTCCTTAAAAAGACTTTTTCATGTTGTGTCATTGACTTGTAAAAGCTCCAAAAAAAAATATTCTTCTATTTTGATGGGACAACTCAAAGTATCAACACATCTCAAAATAAGAGTCATTTGCTCTTGATGACTTACATCTGGAGTACAATCAAGAATGTTAGAAAAATATTTTGCATCTTTAACTTTTTTTAGTATAATATTTTTTATTTGAGAAGCTAACAATTCTATAAGTTCATTCTGTATAGTCTTACTCAAATAATGATTTTGAAGTTTACCATTCTTTATACGCTTAACATTCTTTATACGCTTACCATTGCCTTTTTGGTATATATATATTTTTTTTAATTTTTCCCATGAAAAGCTAAATTGTTTTTAGAAAGATGTTTAACTATAACTATAATCCTTACCAAAACATTCTCCCAATGTTCCTTCTTTTTATTGATTTGTTTTTGGATCTCCTTATCAATTGCATTTTTCTTTCTCAATCTTGCTTCAAATTCAATCTATTTATCCATATTAGTTACATGTTCATAACTTGTTCCGTGACTCTTAAGCTTGGGACCAATATTTTTCCAATCTCTAGTACCTTCATTAACTAATTGATTAGCAATACAAGCACTACTTTTTGAACAAAACAACTTACAACAAAAATAATACACTTTATCTAAATTCTTTGAATAAACTAGCCATCTTTGATCATATTTTTCTCCATTTGGCATTACTTTTTGGTAGTAAAATGAAGAAAAGTGTCTATTATTTTCATCTTTTGGATACTTCATATTGTTATATCTAATTGGACCATTTTCAACTATTAAATCTCTAAAGTTTTCATCAATATTTTCCCATTTTCCTAGATCATAAATATTTTTAGAAACTTCATAAATATTTAATGTACTATCTTCTTGACTAGGATCATGACTATTGATATTGTTAAGATTTTCTACCACTTGAATGTTTTCATTATCAGTATTTTGCTCTACTATATTAATATTATTTGGGATTTCTAGTGAAGAATTCTCTGTCATATTTGTATTTTTTGAACTAGTTGTAACATCCTTTTTCATGAATAGTAACAAATTTTTGAAGAGCATCTTGTTGATACATACTTTCTATTTGACATATTTTACTGATTGGTTAAAATAAAAATAACAAGAAAAATAATTTTTAAAATTAAAAGAAGATAACAATGAAACAATAAAACCTAGAAAGTGAAAAATTATATCCATGAATGAAAATTTCTTTAAGTTATGGCTATACACTATCATAACTACGAGTATCCAAAACTGAAACCATAGTGACAATCACTTTGCTTGCACCTACAATGATAAACAATAAAAAAAATGAGATCTAAAAATTGTAATTTGTAAATAAAAGTACTGTACTAAATTGTTTTTTCTCTTTGAAATAGTTTGGATCATCATTTGAAAATAATGAATGAATGCTCATGTCTCATTTGTTAAGTTAGATGAAACAATTCCTAGCAAAGTTTTGAATGAAACAAATATAATACATATTGTTATGTCTAATTGAGACTATTGAGTATGGTTTGAGTTTAAATCTTTTCTTCTAGAGCACACCTAGCTTTTACCGGAAATAATCTTATGAGTTAAAGATATTCATGCATTTGGTATTACCAACCTTTCCATGAAAATTTTATCTTATACACAAAATACTTGAATTTGAGATTATTCTTAAAAAAATTAATAATGTGTCATTTAAGGCTTATTTGAAAAAATTCTTCCAAAAATACTTATAGGAGAAAAAAAATATGAAAGAAAATCAACTTTTTTATAGGGTAAAATTAACTTAAACATAAGCTGATTTGTAGAAACTTTCATATAATTAAGTTTCTCTAAAAACTTATTTTTAACTTGTGGATAAACTAATTTTAGTTTATAAAGAAATAAGAAAAAGAAAAAAATAAAAAATTTTAAATTCTTACTTTTTTTTGGAAGAATTTGAAATTTTACTATTTCAAGGAATTTCATAAATGATTGAATTTCAAATTCTTTATAAATTCTTTATCTAAACAAGGTATTTTCCCTCAAAATTTTTTTTAAATAAATGAATTACTCAATTTAAGGTAATTATGGCAGTAAGAAAAGCATTTGATTATGATACAAAGAGCATGCAGAAAAGAAAAAGAAGGCACTGAGAAACAAGTATCAATGTTTCAATTGTTAAATATCCAACAGTCATATTTATCTTGTGAACGTATATCGCCAGACTCGACTTCGGTTATTGGATTCTAGTATATAACAAACCAACAAAATAGATAAAGAAGGAAAGGGCAGGAAAAGGAAATGAAGCATTTCTGGCTAACTTGTCTCAATTATCATTTCACCATTCCACTGCTGATATTAAAGTCAGAGATCATTTGACCCAATGCTTTCACAGTTCACACCCAAAATCATTTGTACACTATCTGAACTCCTAATCAAGTATGCTAATGCTAAACAAGGGACAATATTAACAATGTGATCTAAGTCAGCTAATGACATTATTCACATGAAAAACATATTATGCTAGATTCAGTAAAACAGCATATTGAAAACTTGTCAGCTCTGTTTTTCAAGACAATCAATCAAAAGATCTTGGCTCTATAGATTAAAAATACAATAATGGATAAACTATTATCATAGTCCCTTAGATTTTTCATATTTTGATTTTGATTTGGCCTGTGAAAATTCATTCTGAGAAGGTGAAATGTGGCCCATCAATGGTTGTCACTTCACAGCCATTTAAAATTAGCTCATAAAATTGTCAATGAGTTAAGCATTTATGCTAATTTGGAAAATTTTCCGCCTTTCATGGTATAGACTATAGATTTCTCATTTAAATACCCGTGGTTTGTTTAGTTAGATTTCTCTACATATTTTCAAAGAGGTTGAAGTTCACTTAAGAGCCAATGCATTGTAACTATCCATTCCATGTCACTAAAAGCTTGTCATTAGTCAATTCTCCTATAGTCTAAATGCGTTCAAAAGTTAAAAATAATCACTAATAAGTATAAAAAGCATACCCATTGAAAAGCACCTTCTTGTGTTCCATCCAGCACAGTTACTGCATCAGGCTGAGAGTTTAGAGTGCTTCTTAGCTTAAGCAAATCCCGAACCTTATATCATCAACAAACAGTGGAAGCAACATAAGTTTAAAATGTTACGTATGACCGCTAATGCTAAAAACATTTAACATGAGACAAGATGCAGCAGCAATGTTTACCGCTTGCAAGATCTTGTCAGAAGCATCCGCTCCCAAAGCCCTTAAACCTGCAGTTGCCTGTATTAACATACAAATAGTTTCAGATACACCAATGAATATGAATATAATAGATAAATAAATAAACAAAAACAACACACCCCAACTCTAACAGGTGTCTTTGGCCGAAACTCCCGAGGAACAACACTCTCCGCTTTATCCAAAAGAGACATCAAAGATTCCGCTCCCTGTTGTGGATTCTGTGCATACGCACTCAAACCAGGCTTAATCTGCAACACCATAAAAATGTTAACCCACAAAGAGAATCATACTTGAAATTAAAATAATAATAAAAAAAAAGTAGTGAACCAACATTTGATTCATATATATATTTATATATAGAAAAAAAAAAATAATTCATGTTTTATATTTAATTTTAATGATCTAATAGTTGAATTTATAAATTTCTTAATATATAAATTAAGTCTATAAATTTTTAAAAAATTTTAAAATTATTTAATATTTCATTTTATTAATTTAAATTGACAAATAATCATAAAAACATTGTATTCATCAATTTGAATTAATGAAACAATATATTAAACGATTTTTAAATTTTTTAAAAATTTATAAACTTGAGCTATGCATTAAAAATTTTAAAGTCTACTCCTTATTTCTTGAATAAATGGATTCCTCTTTATATATATAAGTCTGCAAATTTTTTTAAAATTTAAAAATCATTTGATATTTTGTTTTATTAATTCAAATTGACTTTGGTAATCATAAAAATATTTTATACATTGATTTGAATTAACAAAACAAAGTATCAAATAATTTTCAAATGCTTTTAAAATTTGCAGACTTGATCTATGCATTAAAAACTTTTAAATTAAGAGTTAGATCGTTAAAGAAAGGATCTACTTATTCCAAGAACAAATCTTAATAATTCATATTTTATATCAAATTTTAACAATCCAACCCTTAAATTAAATTTTTTTAATACATAGATCAAGTCTATAAATTTTTAAAAAAATTAAAAACTATGTGATATCCAATTTCATTAATTCAAATTAATTGATGAATAATCATAAATGCACGGGTTATTAAATGGACATATTTTTTTCCTATATCTTCCTTTCCCATTATCACATCTATCACTTTTTCTCGCTTCCTTTACTTACTTCTTTCTACCTTCCTTTGCATTCCTCTTCCTACCTCTCTTTCTTCCGCCTTAACCCACTCGAAATGGGGTGAATTAGAGTATTTTTCCAAGATTAAGGAAGAGTAAATACTCACTTTGATCTTTGAATTTGGAAGGTGTTATTAATTAGTTCTAAAATTAAAAAAAAATTATAAAATAAGTCAAATAAGTCCTTAAAATTAACTACTAACTATCCTTTTTAATCCCTATATATATATATATATATATATATATATAT